CGACTATTGGAGTTCATAATTTTCCAGTCAATTTGACCATAATGATCAGTAAGTATTCCCGCTTTTCCCCTTTTTGCTAAATTTTGTACTGTGTGGCATTTCTAGCCTTTTCCTTCTATCTTTTACCTTCTTTTCCTCCTCTCGAGTGCACCATCGCTCATCTATCCTCCGCCATCTTTCTTCAATCTGAAATCCACCTCTTTTTTGTTTTCTTTTTGTCCTTTTTTCATCAGCCACCTACATCGAGGCCGACCAATTCTCCGGCAACAGTATGAGCACCTCGTCATCTTCCTCAACCTCTAACTCCCAATTCACTCTTTCGACCTCCCCTTCTATGGAAGTCGATCCTAACTCTTCTTCTTCTCGGATTGCTCCCTTCTTAGCCACTAGTTGTCCTCCTCGTCGGCCCCTCAATTTTTGCAACAAGACTAAAATCGAAGACTAAGAGAAAATGGCCTCTTCTCATCAACCTTCCCAATCGACCCATACCATTCTTGTGGTTTGGCCCATTCTTGATGCTACGTACAACACCGTCTAAGAAATGGTAACTGTTGTCTGACAGTCGAGCACTTGTTTACTGCTAAGGACTCATGGCTCGATAGCTTTCTCGCCAAATGTTGTCTTCCTGCCGGTTGGCGCTATGTGTCACCTCAACCAATGGACACGTTTGACCACCCTTCAACCGGCTGCCTCACCTTTTTCGATGACCAAATAGATTTAGGCATTAGGTTTTCCCTTAGCCATGCTCTTCTCGAACTGTGTAACGTATTTGGGGTTCTTATTAACCAACTCTCTCCTAATTTTATCCACCAACTGGTCATCTATGCTATCCTCTCCTTCCATAGATTACGTTGTCTCGATCTCGATTTCTTCTTCCACTGCTTTATTGCCAAGGGCCAAAAAGGGACTTTGTATCTTTATACCCTCATGCCTCGTTTACTAAAGAGGATAAGATTAGATAAGGTTGGTTAACCAACCTTATCATAAGTTTACTAGGAAAAATAGGGATTATGATTGAGCTAACGTGAGGATTGTGTGGCAAGTGGGTCCATACAATTTAATTGAGCTGGACATACTGTTTTGTCAGGGTAAATTGGCATGATACTTTTATCAAAACTTTGAAATTCCAATTTTGTCCAAAAATGTGCTTGAAAAATGGCAATTACACCCTTGGATCTTACAAAAATTATAAAATAACCGCATATAATCAAATCGAATGCCTATTTGTTCTTTCTTCTTCTTCCCCATTCTTCCCGTACGAACATCTTCTCTTTCCTCTTTTTTGTTTTTAATTTGCAAATTCAAAATTACGGATATAACCGTATATAATCAAATTGAATGTCGATTTGTTCTTTCTTCTTCTTCCTCATTCTTCCCGTACGAACATCTTCTCCTTCCTCTCTTTTTTTTTTTTTTTAATTTGCAAATTCAAGCGGGTTTTAACATATTGGTAAATTCCTAGGCATCAATTGCTTTGTCTTGGTCGAACATTTCAGCCGTGGTTACCCTCCATACCGATTTCACTGCTTAAGGTTGGGTAAGATTAAATTCAGCGACATTTTTTTGTAATTTTTTTTAATTTTGTTTATCTGATTTTTGTTTCATCAATCATCTTTCATTCATCTCCTCCGGCTCGATTTCACGGCTCAAAGATGTGAGTCGTTAGGGCTCGACGAGTTTAGGGCAAGAAAAGAGGAAGGCTGCTCATTGAAGACATCATCCAATTTTTAGTGGAAAGATGAGGGTAAAACTGACATTCAATGATTTATCACATTATGCAAAATAGGTTAGTAAACATAGGATGTGATTAAAAAAATTAGCATATAAAAATGACAAATGCTGACTCAATAGACAAATAATCTTATCTCATCATATCCCTGTTAACCCTAGTAAACGAGGCTTCAATGGAGTGCACTTTCTAAATTATGTTCCTTCCAACATCCGCAAATGGAAATCCTGATACTTATTTTGTTCGACCATCATCTCCTCTACCCATCGACCTAACCTGATAAGAATCCTTCCCTTGTCGACTTTTTGTCCCTCTTTATTTTATCGACTTCAACCTCTAGGTCCAAGAATGAAACAAATCCCAAGTCTCGTATGTCATCCTCCTTAAAAATGAGAAGATCATGTATTTCTGCTTGACGCTACCCGGGTCTATCGGTCAATGAAATTGGTACTTGATGTTTTTGTTATTATCTCATGCCTTAGTTTTTCATATGTTAGCCTTTGTACATCTATCTTATGCAGAGGGATACTTGAAGCTAAAAGATTGTCACTCGACCAACAACTTGAAAGCTAAAGGGTCATCACTCGAGGAGAAGAAATTGGTCATTGGAAAATTCTTGAGTACGTCGGAAAGTAACAAGGATGTCGGAGATTCTACGAGGGATGCTTGATGAGCAAAGAGTGGAGAAAAAATAAGAGGGATAAGACTTATTTATGAGATAGAGGTGACTAACCCAAAGGCCGAACAATTTCTTACCATTGGATAAAAAACAACGGTCCACAGATCTACGACATTTGTTGCATAACGACATACGAGGCACTGCCTCCATACGCGAAGCAACAAAAATACTCGAGTGCGTTGATAAGGCATGTGAGACAATCTAAGCGAGCCAAGTTTCTAGTATTTAATGCTTTGTAGCCTGACAATTAATGCTAGCTAAACCAGTTTTCTAATATTTATTACCACACGTGTCAGAGCACGGGTAATCATAAATAGTTGGAGTAGTCGATATTGCATATTATAGTTAGTTCATAAACAAAAGCGCTAAAGGTCAAGATAGATCAAGTTGGATCGACCCAACAACCTAAGCTTTTCCTGGCCTCATAGGTCACCAGGTCGAGTTAGCGACCTAATAAGCAGTGCGCCTAAAGAGCTGTGTAGACGAGTTGATACGACAAAGTGATTGATTTCCTCCACATGTGGCCAAATGAGAACAAGCCACCCATGGGCAGCAAACAACAATCTTCGTATATAAAGGGAAAGATTTTACCATAAAGAATGGGAGGTATTTATTACCATTCTATTACACTTCTTTTTAAATGGAGAAACGCCTCGAAGGAGGGAGGGGGGATTTAAGGTCGGATCCCCACACTGTATATAGTCAACCTCTAAGTGAGCTAAAAAAGATATAGGCCCCGTTTGGAAGATAGCGGATTGAGGATAAATTAGCGGATTGGACTTAATTGAGAGGTTTGACCCGTCAAATCCGCTATTGAGCTTGTTTGGTAAATATCTTATTTGATAAGCTTTTTAGGCCCAAAGCTCTAATTTAGAAAAAGCTCATTAGAGGAGCTTTTTGGGGATAGAGGATTCACAATCTACAATTTTAATTTAGAACTTTTTAATTTGTATCATTTATTTTACAATCTACATTGGTTTATGATGCTAACAAATAATATAATGTCATCCATATGATTAATTTATCTAGAAAAATATAAAATTCATAACTTCTTAATCAATTTTTAGTAATTTTTTTTTTAAAAAAATATATATTTACAGTTACCAACTAAAAAATATTAAATGTTTTAATATATTAATATTAAAAGAATACACCCTAAATAATAAAATGTCTTTATTGATAATTTGCAATGTCAAACAGCTATAAGCTTTCAGCTATTTACCAAACACTTATTTAAAAATCGCTAATGCAATCCGCTAGTCAAATCAGCTAATATAATCCACTATCCACTAATACAATCCGCTATCCGCTGATCGCCAAACAAGGCCATAGTTCTACACATGTCCAAACAAAACAAAACAAAAATAATAAAAAAAAAAAACAAAACCTAAAAATGGATAAAAACAACAACCAAAATGAAAAGTTTGAGTTCAGGCTAACAGGTGTCCGAGAGAGCAGTCTGCACCAAAAAGTAGACCAAAGCGCAAAAAACTGAACGACTACTAGAATCTGAATGATGGGTTGCCATCCTGATTAATCTGCACAAGAATACAAAGGCGGAAATAGGCGTCAGGGTGTAAAATTCGTCGTTGGGGAGTGGCGAGGCTGGCCAGGTAGTCACAGTTCAGTTCTCCTCGCGGATGTGCAAAATCATGTGGCGGACAGACTACAGTGTGGATCTGATGCGCACTTTAGTCTGTCCGATACGGACAGACTCAAATCATGTGGTGAATCTGTCGCTAGCCCTAGTGGCTCGAGGTCGTAATATTAACTTGACAGTCAGAGAGCTCTACATTTGGATCCTCCACGATGCTTTTCAAGTAATTCAATAGCCAGATCGACTCGGAATTAGGAAGAAGACTCGTGATTGACGGAAACTATTGATTTTGATCCGAAACTATTGGGTAAGTACCTCTCATACTAGACTTTTTTAAATTTAATTATTATATTCATCTAAAAATGTTAAAAGAATCTCATAGTTATAATGTATCACAAATTTTTAAATTTCGTTTACCAAACTCCCCCCC